ACCGTATGTATGTTATGCACAAAAATGCAAGTTTGACTTGCTTGAATAGACTTTAGTGACTTTAACCCGAAGAATAGGTCAAATTTTGGTAGAGATGTGTACGCGTTCAAAAATGTATTGTGTATAAACTATGCAAAATATAATTATTATGTATAGCAAATATATCGTATTATCCTCGCGAAGATTTGTACCCTTTATTTAAAATCCATAAATCATGTGAACAGGTTAAATAACGAGAAAATAATTATGTTAATTTAGTTCTAAAGAAATGAAATGACACTCGCGCCCATCTCTAGTCCATCCATCGACATCGGTTGCGTTTATCGAATTCCTATTGGTCAGAATTCAAATTGCAGCCCTGTTATGAATGGAGCGTGAGTTGGACTATTCTATCATGTGCGTCGCCTGAGGCTATTCGTTACATTGACTCCTAATTTCCAATTAAAAGAACGACACTATTTTTAACCGAACTTTATTTAATAAATATGTAGTATACAATTTCAGATTTTCTAAATATTTTATAACGCCTAAAAATGTATGTACCGTGGAATTTTCGTGAATTATCACGTAAATTTCCGATGCATACCCATCTAGGTTTATGAATGACATATCTATGTTCAAGGTTAAAGTCACAAATTGTCCGCTCTCTGATAATAACACATAAAAAATCACTCGCCGACTCTGAACACAGTGAACATCAAATGGTAAGACTGACCACGCCACTGCCGTTTCTGACAAGTTCTAGCCTCAAATGGCGGCCTGACCGAGGGGATGTGCGTATCGTTCCCGCCAACTACAGCTAGACTGCTGATTGTTTTATTTGCTGTGCTTCGGTACACATGGAACACTAGCGACACCACAACTTCTGCCATTTCTTGGACAAATTTTGTCAATTTTCCCGTATGAGTTCGTGCTCCTTGTCTAGTCTCCCTGGTAATTATCATCACTATACTCCGCAGTCAAAATTATAGAGAGTGATTCAGACATAATCTAAAAACACTATTACCATAATGCGTATAAAATATAAAATGATTTTTATACGGTTCAATATTATTTATCTTTGTGCCGCTCGCTACGCACGTCGATAGAATCTATAATCGTCTATAGACTGAGTTACACTGAACGTCGGTCTATATTCTATCTCTGTCTTTTGCTCTTGGTAGGGAATAGAGAAGTGCTTTTTTAGTGGGTGTAAACGGATTTGATTTACCAGTCCTGAGAAACGTCATAGCATAAGCGTAGACGAGGGGTCTAATTCCATGGCTATAATAAATTTATAAATTAAAAAAACACAACTGGGACGTTTTAAAATGCTGTAATAATTAAAATGGATCAAAATGCCGATTATAACAGACCGTAGAAAATATTTGATGTTATGTTTTATTATCTTTTTTCAATATTTTCTATATCTTGTTGCCTTTTACGCAGACACGCCAATGGATTTTCGTTCCCGACACGCTTCATCCCCCTTACTAGTCCAAAAGCTAGCGATGAGTTACTCTCTATAATTTGGACCGCGGAGTATAGCCATATTCAAAAATATTGACAGCATGCGGTGACGGACGGTCAAACACAACAAATGGCATTTTACCGCTACCTCTCCCGGTATGCCCGAGAGTCTCCGGGAATAATGTTCAACCTCCCGAGCTCCCGGGATGTAATAATTTCTCCGGATTTTCAAAAATAAAATTAATTGTCATTAACAAAATAGATAAATCGCTCGTAGGTAGCGACTCTTTCTCCCGCACGCCGTTCCTTTAATACATCAACTGTCATGTCGAGATCTCACATACGTTGTTGCTCTTTATGGACATATTGTGGACATGCATAATGCATTTACTCCATGTTTCTGCAGATTAATCTCTTCGTGCAAGAATAATTTTACATCCTGCAATTTAAATGTCATATTATTTCGTGCTACTCCATTTTTTAACTGGGCCCAGATTAACTCAATGGGATTTAGTTCACAGTGGTAGAGTGGCAAGCAAAGTACTGCAATTCCACGAGCTGCAGCCATTTCATCCATTACATGTATTGGACTTTTTCTTTCTCCGTGATTTTCAGTAATTCTGCTTTAAGCATTGTTTCGTCCAATTCGATCTTTTTCGATTTTAACCAGTCTATAATTTCCAGCTTTCTCCATGTCGATATTGGCAACTTCTCTAATCGTCGACTATGATAGGGTGCATTATCCATTACAATTACAGCACCAGGTTCCATATATGGCAAAACAGATTCAAACCATTTTTCAAATACTTTGCTATCCATATCCTCATCATGATTGTCTCGTGTTCGTCATGATTCAAAAACAAGTAAACGCTGTTCCAAAAATCCTGCTGTACTTCCAATATGCGTCATTATTATTAGGCGCCCGCCGCCCTTTTCCAGAAGGTTACCTACTTTCCAAAAAATCTTCTGAAAATGCCTGCCGTTTGCATTGGATGTTACCATCTTGCCACACTTTTGTCACTGTATGACCTTCATTTATCCATGTTTCGTCCGTTTAATATATTCTCTCTTTTACTATCATACTTTTCGATTTCGTTTTATAAAACAGAAATACACCCATAGTTCGCAAAAGCACCCTTCTAGATATTCTAGGCAATTTTTTTTTCTGCATGAGAGTAAATTGAAAAATAAGTATAATTATGTATTTTCTTAATTAACAATTAAATTGTGCGAAATCTACCTAACCGATTTCGATGAAAAAATTTCTGCAATACTACCATATCATGAAGTACCTACTCAGAACCATACTTTTTATATGGCTACTCTGAAGTCAAGGTCCGAAATAAATTCATGAAAAAAACTTCTTTTTTTCGGTCTACATATACTATATTGCAGCAACAATAATGCACATAAAAATTTCGGACCACTTTTATTTTGAAGAAAATCTCAATACGAAACTTTTTTCCTTTAACTATTTTCTCTATAATGTCAATATATATTCTCCGAGTTATACATTAAAGGGAGAAAAATGCGTCTTTTTTAATTTTTTTTTACATTTTCTGGTGCTAACAATTATGCACAACTTTTTTAGCGGACGCATAGGTATCGCAATTATCATTTTACATAATATTTAGAACTATTTCCAACAAAAATTAGCGTTACTACATGAAACATTCATAACCTTCTTTTAAAACAGATATCGACTGTATAAAAATTTAATAAAGCTTATTTTTGTCTTTAAAAATAAATATTTTCATATTTTTAACACTTAATTGTTATGTTACTACCAAAAAGAGTCAATTTCCTAATAGAAATAATAAGAAATAGAGTTCCTTTTCAAATCAATGTAAGGCGATTTGCATTCTAGGTCACGTGACTTAGGGTGGGTTTTGTATCAGGCTATTTGGCTTTGGCTTTGTCGGCGTTGTCCTAATGCTGCACTGTGATTGGCTATCAATCACGTGGTACCAAACACTAGCAGCTAAAATCTCAGACTAATAAATAAAGGCTAAAATAAGTACGCAAAAAGTTGACTTTTGACTCTTGCCCATTTTTTGAACACTGTCAAGTACATATATTTTTAAATGGGATGTTATTTTCTGGTAGTGACGTCATCGATATTTTTTAAATGAGATGTTTTGATTGTTTTGCACGTTTCGATTGATTTTTTTATTTTCTTTCCAATCAAATAAAATTTGTGTCTTTGCATAACGAAATTTTTGAGAAAAAATGAGAAAACTTTCAACATTTGACTTTAGTTTAGGATGTTCCCTTTCTAAATCATAGGTATCAAACGACAGAATGCGCTGGAAAAACAATTTTGCAAAATAAAATTAAATTGCATTCATTATAACAATTCAGTTGCCATTACCAAATTTTAACGTGATATAGCCGCCTACTAGATAAATTAGTTCGATAAAATTTCTACCCTATGCCAATCATGATTGGCATAGGTAGGGTAGATTGGTAGGGGTAGGCATGATTTTAAATAAATTTTTTGTTCACAAATCGTTTATTTTAGGAAAAAATTACAAGAGACCTTTTTCGTTTAGAATAAATCAGGCTATCCGAAATGAGTTTTTAAATGGTAGTAGTAAGTTGCATATGAAACAAGTTCTAGTGCTGGCTTTTTCTACCTCTTACAACCATAGGAGAAAATCAACAATTTACGAAGTGTCTTCTCGATAGCAGACAATGTCTACTTAATTTCACGTCACTTTTTGGTATTTCCGAAAAAAATAAAAAACTACTTTTTTGGCACGTACCCTCTTTAAGCTGTAGTATCTTCACAGGGAATGTTCGAATTAGATTTTTTTTATATGAAGGGCCCACCTTATTTTTCCATAGGGAATCATCCCCCTTAATTTTTTCCCTTATTTATTTAGATTACATTATTTTTGTTTTATTTGTTAAATAATAAAATTAACTGGTTACATTTTGGGTCATTTATCTTTTAATATTAAACGTCCATTCTGATCATGCACCTTATTTTACGATCAAATATGTATGTGCCCTTCAAATAACTCACCTATTTGCCCCTTACAAAAATATCTGTTCTTTAGTCCTATATATCTACTTAGTCTCTCATTGCATTCTGTAAAATGGCAGGCTTTTTTTGTAATATAATCTTAATAATTATCGATTCCCAGATATTTGTTCTTACGAAACATAGGTACATAAAATATTATCTGTATTATGTTTTTTTTTTGTTAGTTTAGTTTTATGCTTTGTCATTGGCGACTTTTTTTAATGTACCTACCTGTCTTTTACTTTGTAATTATTTAATTGCAGTATTTGTCAGTATTATATTGGACTGCCATGCACATAAATAAATGAATAAAAATAAATTAGAAAAATATTTTCATATTACAATTTTAATGTTCCAGATTATAAGCTTAAAATTAACAAAGTATGGAAATCACTCCGTCAACAATTACTTAGTCAAGATGAACGATATATTGCCCATTTAGTCATAGTGTGGTATCACTGAAGTTGGGCTACAACCAAAATGTTCGTTTCATCCCTTTTCAAAATGATGAAAATAAAGCAAAATTAATGACACATTTTTATTTTAAATAATTCAGGTTACAAGATCTTTATTAAGAAACTTAAAACTAATTTAACTAACTAATTTACTAATAGAAACCTTACACATAAACTTATATTAGAGTACTTATCCTGCAAAAAACTTAAAATAAAAAGACTGTTACATTTATTTGAACACATTTTTTTTATTATTACAACTGATACATTCTTCCCCTTAAATTTTAAAGAATGTGAAAAACAAAATACAAATACTGGAAGGTATCAGATATTTTAGTCATAAGATGTAAAAACATACAATTATGTTTCCTATTTAACCAGCAGGATAACTTTAGATGAAAAATTAGAAACTACAATGAATTTTAATAACACATAAATATGATAAGATTATGCTCTCTCCCCACGAATCCTACGGGCCAACTGAATGTCTTTCGGCATAATAGTGACTCTTTTTGCGTGAATAGCGCATAAGTTTGTATCTTCAAACAATCCTACAAGGTATGCTTCGCTAGCTTCCTGAAAAACAAATTAAATGTGCTTTAAAAATCAGATAAATTGACGTTATAAATTTTAAATAACAAATATATTCTAAACATGAAGATATCTTTAAGCATGGTATCATCATATATTTAAAACAAATTTTATAGAACTTTCTTTTACTTAAATCGGATCATTTACAAATATATAAAGGTTCAGTGACCAAACAGTCAAATTTCACCGACAAATTCTATGATAAAAATTAAGGATAGTAAAAATATTTTCTCAAAAAATGTTTTATTTTAAAAAGTACAGAGCGTTGAAGTTGAAAAAATTGAAACTTCAAATATAACTCTGAAATTCATAAAGTTTTTTAATTACTAATTTCACGTGGTGAATACTAATACTAGCGTACACTACTATCAGCTTAAAAAAAGCTTGCAACACCACTGTGAAAGATGGTGTTGAAAGATACTCAAGTTACGTAAACAAAAACATTCCCATCCTTAGATACTAATGCCACATAAGTAATATGTGCTAATGCCTACTTTTAATGTGTTTACTTCTCAAGCCCAAGGACCCCTAGGTCATAAATTAAAATGCTTATAAACATACGGAGGTATATTGTAGCACTAAGCTTAAGAGATATTTAGTTTCTAATCTGATTTGATACCGAATAGATGTGCTTTCTGAATAAGTGAATAAACAATATCTTTTAATTATTAAATTGTTTTAGTTCTACCCATAATCCCAACAGATGGAAACAATAAATAAATGACTTAAATAATTTTTAACTGGTTAATGATGGTTAACTTGTTGGATGTCACTCTAAAATGTGTAGTTCCAGAGAAAAATGGATAACAATTTTCTACTGCAGTTATCAGTCAATTACAGAGTATTTTGGTGCAATATAGTCTAAATAAACATTTTTTTGTTAAACTTGCAGTTATTAAATACTCTTTACGATTTATTATATGCACAATGCACAAAATAATGTTTAATCAATCAATGTATCAAAATACTCGGATGTCTGTAACTGACAAATGAAGTAGAAAATTTAAATCTATTTTTCTCTGAAATTCATTCATTCATTTTACCAACATCCAATAGTTATATCTTTTACTAGTGTTGTAAAATTATCAAATTTTATTTTTTGAGAATTTTCATTGAGCACAAACAAGAATGATTGGGTATAAATAAAAAGAACCTTGAAATTTCCCAAAAAGAACATTTAATGGGCGTACACACGCTCAGGCATGCCCTCGCACCTACCTGAAGAGGCAAGTCTGCGAGCAAAAACCATTCTGCATTTGCATACCTAGACACATTCAAGTGTAAAGTGAGGTACATTACTTCATTTTTAAGATTATTATTAATCACACTTATATTAAAATTCCATCGTAATACAGTAGTTGTGGCTGATAAATCTGGCCTGTTCCAGCTCTCGATTTCATTGAATTTTCTGATTTTCTTATTCTTTCCGGAAACAACTCCTTAACAAATTTATTTTTTTTACGTCTTCAATTACAGCATCTGGGTTCTTTTTAAAATTTTTTCAATAAAACTATAAATGTCTTCTTTTGGTTTTATCCATATACTCTCTGGATTTTACTTTCCACAGGCGTGTGATCTCTTTGTACAATTCTATAAATTCTCTTAAAATTGTTTTTCTCTTGCAGTCATATTTTTTAAATTATCATTTTATTTAATAAAAACGACAGTACTGTCTCCAGTAGCATCACAATAACTAATAGAAAATGAAGGCTTGGCACGAGAAGTGTACATATGTTAAAACCTTCCTGCAAGCCTTCTTGAAAAACTATGAATCGTTAGATTGCTTGACATCGTGCCACAGGCTAGGAATAGGCCATCAGTTAAACACACATATCTAGACTTACTTGTGAGCCACAGTCTTCAGGTAGGCGCGAAGGCCTGCCTGACTGTGTCTATGCATATTTACATTCAATGGTACAAAAAACAGATCACTTTATATCACATGCTTTAAAAAAGTTGTTAATGTTTCAAAAATCTATTTGGCTTCATTCTGTTGAATAGACTTCTCAAACTGTGAATATTAAAATAGATCAAAAAAATTATATTAAAAAACTAGAATTTGAGAAATCTAAAATTTGCGATTACGCTTGGGAAAAATGTCATATATTCAATGGGGTCGGGCTAAAAAGGAAAATAATACCGTTAAGAAAATTAAAAGTGACCATCATTATTTGGATGAATGATGAAAGATTTTAAATTATTCTATGAATTTGGATTCTAGCTGACTATAAATTCTAAAAGATAAAGTAATAATAGAATATAATCATATAATATCTCTATCTATGGAGACAAACAAAAACAAAGAAGTTTAAACTGTCCAAAAAAGACAGAAATGAAGTCAGAATAAGTTCAGAAGATGAAAACAGATAGATTTTTGGAACATTATAACTTTTTAAAAAGTGATGTTTTTTGTATTTGTCTGGTTTTCTCAATGTGAGATTTTTGGTCAGGCAAAAATATTTACATAAAAATAACCCTTTCCAATTGGCGCCAAGTGTTTATTTCACTAATTTTAAATTTTTTCACATCTAACTAAATAACCAAGTAAAGAAAAAAACCAAAACTATGCCACAAATAAATAATAATACAATGGTTTTTCATGCACGAACGTACGTGAATATTTTCCAAGGGCATATGGAGAACGTTCTCGCCTTTATATTCACTTTTTATAGTGAAAAATCATTGAAACTTTGATGTTATTGTTTCTGCTTTTCAGTGGTATATATTTTTTTTTAATTAAAGATTGAAATAAAGAAGTTTGTGCATCACTGGTTTGTATTTAGAAATTGTACTTGATAATGGAGATTCACGTTAACATTTTCCATTTCAAATTAAATTTGATGAAAAACCTTTTCTGACAAATTGTTCTCTAATCTCGTTTAGAGGAAACCAGGTTCATCTAATCAGATGAAAAGATGTCTAAACAATTTATTGTTATGCTTTTTTTGATTTTCTGTTTTCATACATTTAAGATTTTCTCTATAAAAATCTACTTGTACAAATTAACACATTTCTACATAAAAAAAAACAAAAAAATGCCGCAATGTGGCCACTAGTTTATTTTTGTAAATTAGGTAACCAAAATCTTGGTTTAAGATTTTATATCAACGTTACGACATCAAATTATGATGACGTATTAATCTTGCCTCAAATTGCCAAATACATTTTGCATTAATGCACATAAAAATGGCCCACAATTAAAAAGTTTATTAGCAAGGGAAAATAATTTTTTTTCTAAAAATTTGAAACAATGTGCCAGCTACTAAAGCAAACGTTTAAACAGTTTATTTTTTTCTTTGTTATTATCTCAATCACTAACTGAGGTGTACAGTTAAAGAGCAGTAGTTTATGGAAAATTATTAAAAACTTAAGATAACGGTAATAATAATAATAATAATAGTAAAAGTAATTATATGAGTAAGATAACTTAGAAATTTTCAACCCCCTGTCTACCTCCCCGACATTGAAACTTATAGTGTTGAATAATATTTTTATTAGTGAAGCAATAACATACTCAAACTATAAAGCCGGCTACTCATTACACGGTACTTGCTGAGTGACTTGACTTGGAATAATTTGACAGGTACTTGTTCAAGTTAAAGTAAACTGTGCACATTATGTGCCCAATTTATTTGACTCTCAATTCTTCGAGAAGTATAAGTTGAAAGGTGAGTAGTCTTAAAAAATGGACGAAAGTGAAATGACAACTTTAGCAGCACCACTTTTTGTGCTGCTCCTTAATTTGTTCTTGCAGTTACGAAATGTGGCCATAAGGGAATCTTTTTTCTTTTTTAACACATCGACACTAACCTCTGGTAAAAAATCACTTTGTATTCGTTTCTAAGCATCATGCACTTTGCTTCTATAATGTGCTGGGTCCCAAATAATATGTTTCCGCTGATATAAATCCAAAAAGTTAATTATCGACTCATCATCATTTACAATAATAAGAAACCTTGTTAGGACAATCTTGCTCCTTCCTAGCAATAGAACATATTTTGAGCCGTGGTTATATATTGCAGTATGTATTATCACAATATTATATCGTCACCTTTTATGTTTTATTTCAATTGCAAGCATCATGAAATTGATACTATGGGCCAGCTTAGTCTTTGCCATGCACTATCTCCCCCCCCCCACCTTTTTTTGCTATCTATTTTATAGCTTAAGGGGGGCGTTTTTATGCGCAATTTTCAATGAATTTTTTGTCCAATTGTTTAAAAAATCTAAGCAAGTTAGAAACGATATCTCTTCACTGTAGTACTCATACAAGTGTTCTTCAGGGTGTGAGATAACTGACAACACATTTTAAGTAAAAAAAAAAAAACATATTTTTTTATCTTACGTTTCCTGAACTTTCCACGACTGTTGAACATACAGATAAAAGCGTACAGTATTATAAACATACCCACACCCAGCAGAATGCTTTTAGGATACTATTTATACATGAATTAATAAGAATTATTGAGTAGTTTTATAAATCAATTGGACAAAACAGGAAAGGTACGTGTTCTGATATTTTATATTATCCGTCATCTTTTCATGCCGAGCAATTGAAGAAATCCTTCGTATTTCAACATTTCTATAGTTTGGATACTATCGAAAAGAGGGCGATAGTCACAGTTGTCGTTCTAAGGTATTTTTTGCCGAACCAGAGCCGGACTAACTTCGATATGTTTGAGTTGTATTTGCGCTGATTTTAGATAATATAAAAGAATGTGATGGCAGTGCTTGTTTAAATGGGAATATTAAGCTTTGCATGTAAAATAATCGTAATAATAAAACTGTTATTCCGAGTTCTTACGAATACTGTTAAATACTAATAAGTAAGTTAAAAAATTTTAATTCTGACAATTAATAATTAGTCTAATAGTAAAAGAGCTATAAACACAAATAAATTATAGTACTTAATACACATATTTTGATAATAGTCCAGATAATATAATCGATAATATAATTACTAGAGAAGAAAGAATTAGGCAAAT